TTGTGAGGCTGTCTTTCCACATGCTGGAGAGGGAGTGAAGTGTTCTCCTCTAAGACCTGAAGATGTCATTGGCCCTCTGCAGAGTTTAAGTGCATGAAACCATTTACTGAAAAAACACATCTGTAGCTGAGGAGAGCTGCAGAAGGGCAGAAAGTGTTGTTTTAGTTGCAGAGAAGATGTGAACAAAATGAGCTGAGGTCGACGGCTTTAATCATTTCTACAGCTGTCCTCCTTACTCTCACACTGACACTGTACACCACAGTGATACAGATGAATCTGTCATAATGGACTCCTTGTTACATCTGCTTTCACAAGGAGCATTCACAATTGTCAATAGAAAACTTCCAAAGATGGAGGCTGAAGTCAGTTCTGTATTTCAGTTGTCACATATGTATCTTTCATGTATTCTGTCATTGAGGTCTGCAGATATTTCCTGCCAACATTTATGTCGTTATGGGAGGGGGGTCTGTAACCTTTTAAATCAGGAAAAAATTTCCTGATCTCGGGGAATCGGCTCACGGCTCTGCTCTCACTGTGCAAGTGTGTGCAGTCGTACGACCAAAGTATCAAACATGTCAGAAAATAATTTGGCTGTTCATAATTTGGCTGTTCATATAGGAGCAGCTGATCGTGCTTCAGTGTACTACATGACTGACGACGAGTGATCAGGCTGAACTTAAAAACTTAAAAACTAGTCTGACAACTGAGAAATCTGGTCTAAATTGGCTTACAATCTTACAGTGTTTGCCTGGTGTAAACTACTTCAAAAATCTTCAGGTCTTGGTATCTGTATTTTGAGTTATTGTTTTTAATTCCACTGGCCGGTAAATTAAATAATGAAGGATCTTTCAAGGTCACGATATGTCTACCTTGCAATGAGCCTCCGACTGGGAGTTGAGAGTGGACCTGAAGAGGAAGCTCATCTTCCCACAGGACTTGGCAGTGACCTCCCTCCGACCAGATATGGTCCTGCTATCCAGGAGCATGAAAACCATCATAGTTGCTGATCTCACGGTGCCCTGGGAAGAGAGGCTAGCCACGTCCCACCAACTGCAAAAAGCCAAAGACCAAGACCTGGTCGACGAAGCTGTTTTAAAGGGGTGGCATGCAACCAGCTACCCCATTGAAGTCGGCTGCCGAGGGTTCCCAGCAAAATCGGTGCGCTACTTCCTCCAGAGGGTGGGCCTGGAGCCCAAACAGCTGAAGAAAGCCACCAGGGACATAGCTGCAGCAGCCGAGTCCAGCTCAAGATGGCTGTGGCTGAAGAGAGCCCACAGTTGGAACCCTTCTGCAGGTGAAGGCTAATCAGTCTTTGCTGCCCCACTCAGGCGAGGTGTTCAGGTTAAGGGGTGAAACACCTGAGACCCTGAGATCCCTGCTGACGAAGCGTAAGGGTTACAACAACGTGGATGCTCCAAGAAATAGCATCTCGGAAGAAGATCTGTATCACCATAGTTAGTGTAGTTCCTACAGTTGCAGCTTGTGGCAAAGCATCTCTGATGTTTACTTCACCTGATGCTAGAACATGTTTCAAGAGAATGAGGAGAGGTTGATGAGGTGAGAGAAAATGCAAATGAGGAGGAGGTATGTTGAGACATATGTGCCAATGAATACCATTACTTCCATACAAATAAGTGAGTCAGGAAAATATTTAGCATTTCCCAAAATATATGTTGGTCAAATACGGTATGCCCACATCCCCCTAAAACATAAAAAGCAGTAGAAGATATCTGACATCGACTGGCAGGCTCAGTGACGGGCGTTTTGTTTCCTCATGGCAGCCATTTTTTCTACAGTACCACAATTTTGGCCAACAACGGATGTGGAACAGAAGTGGTTTGAATTCTGGTTCCCAATTGTGTGCCTACTGCAAGCAAAGCACATTCTTGTTTTGGACAGCTGCAGTTTGTGCTATAGAGAAAAGACAAAGTAGATGATTGGGAATATAGGGAACGTCTTTGGACGTTGGGAGGAGGATAGTACACCCAGAGAAAATGAAACATGCACACTCAACACAGAAAGGCGGTGGTTAAAGAGAAAAATATGACATGATGCTTAACCAGACATTTGAGCTGAATGACCACATGAACCGCTTTGTCTTCCTTGAGTATGTACCCACCAGGGGTAAAAACGTCAATCCTGTGTTCTCACTTCAGAGATGACCACCAAAACATCCAATCCAATCCAGTCCCAGTTAGCGATGACTTCTCTGCTAATACTCTTGTAATGAAGAGTCCTTGACCCAATAAATTTTAAGTATTTCTTTTGGCTTGTTGGAGGCAGAGCACCACTGATGTAACACCATTACATTATTTTATGCAAGTCCAATCTCAACCGTGCAAGTCAACGTCCAATGCCTTCCCTCCGTTCTAAATCGGTCTGGGATTAAGTTTTGAGCCAGAGCTTCTCCCAAAATCATATTTTTCTTTCTTGTAATCCATCCTAGGAACAAGTCTGGTGGAGGATGTTAATGCCAAACAGACATGGAGTGTGTTAACATTTAACCCCCCCGCTCAATGCTGAGGGTCAGTTTGTGGTTTGTAATGACTTCCAGAGACGGCTAATTTTTACTGTCTTTCTTCCTCTGGGTTTTCTGCATGTTTTGTAGAAGCATCAAGAGGAGTTTCAGCAGTTTTCCATTTTCTTCCAGGATGAACTGCTTTGCTTTTCAAGTCAAACAAACATCTACATCGTGGCTACAATATCTCACTGTTCTCTGACGAACATAGAAGCTGCATAGATCGCTCTTTGATTCATTTTTCTTGTTCTGTCTTTTGGGAATGGCCCTAACAAACTTGCCGTCTCCTCTTTGTAATAACCTCAGACAGAAGGAAAATACCACAGAGTTATTCCCCTCAAGATTTGGACCATTTTGCCTGGTGAACCACATTGGAGTTCAGAACAACAGAGCTGTGCATGAAGGCATTTAACCACACACACACAAACACACAGAGAATAGATAGCTCAGTTATGTACGAGCAAATATAGAAAAAATGAGACAGAATGAGTGAGAACAAAATGCAGACTAAGACTGACGAGGTTCTTCTCTAACTTGGTGAAGAAGGAAGGAGTGGTTGTGAGTCCGCCTCCTATCTGAATTTTGCTATCATGTCGTCTCTCTGCTCGTTTGAGGTGTTTTCAAAGACAGACTTTTAGAAAGTAGGAGGAGAGGAAAAGGAAACTAGGGCCGACTGATATGGTATTATTCTGGCCAGTACCAACATCGATATCAGGAAGAGAAAAATCCGATATATCAGCCGATGTCTTTCTAAGATCTATCTTTCATTCTGTAGAGATAGATATAGATATACACATTTATTGCGTTGATCCCTTATTGTAGTTATCAAACAATTATGAAAAAGATATATAATGAAGACAAGATGGTCACTCAACTTAAAAGTAACTGCACATGTACAAGTTGCAATCTATATAGCGCCCTCTGCTGGTGCAAGAAAACTGCTAGTGTAATACAATAATAATCAAATGAACTGCTATGTGACTGGTGAATAAATATTTTAATATCGGCGCATTTCTGTGATAAATTTAGCCGACACTGATAGTCACTGGATATGCTAATATCGGCCGATATTATCGGCTAGCCGATTAATCGTTCAAGTTTTTATGTATCTTCTAATTTTTTGATAACTGAATGTCAAACATCCAAACCACACATGGAGGCACTGAGTGTGTTAACATGAACTTTTTGATCAGGTTTTTTTAAAGTGTAACGTTTTTGTGTTTTAGCATGTAAACATTACAGCCCGATTTCTGTTTTCCTTCTTATCTGCTGCTGTTTTTGCTGATCAAAGTGCCATATATATAGCATGAGACTTTCTACGCTCATGTGTGTCCTATTGAATATTCAGGTACAACGCTGTGACGAGCACTTATCTCAATATACATAATAATTTTTATAGGGTATATGGAAATGCATTTCACACTTATATTATGCTGTGTCTTTTGTCAGCGTTTCAGAGAGGTCGTACTGAATGTGTAAAGTTCTGAGATGCTGTTAAACACCTATCCGCATGAGGGCATCATGGTTATTTGGAAAAAAAACAACAACATGATCTTGATTCATGCATACATGCCATCTCATTTCTAAATGATGGCGATTCACTTTCTTGTATTTCACTTTACATTCAAAACAATTCACATGTTCACTTATTGGCTTCACAACTCTCCCAGTTTGCTTTATCAGTCACACTCTCTCAGTGTAAGGCAAAAAACATTGAATTAATTGATCTGACCATAGACTAGCCTGTGACTTAAAACAAATTTGTTGACAAAATAAGAATAGTGTGAAAGAATCGTGATCTCAATACTTAAGGCGAAAAATTGTGATTCACATTTTAGCCGTGCAGCCCTAATCTGCACCAATGTTTTTTGCCTAATAAATTGTTTATAAATGCAGTGTTTCCCATACCATTATATTAGGGGGGTGGCCCGCCCCCCCCCCCAGTGGATAGAGTCAGAAATCAGGGAAAGAAGTCATTTAAGGATACCTTTCCGATAGAACAGGACATCTGTCATTAAAAGTAACACATGATCACCAATATTCCTTCAAGTGTTTACCAAGTGTAAACCTAGGGGAAACACTGAAATGCATGATATTGATATACTAATGCAAAATACAAAAGACAGTTCTGGACCAAACAGGGCACTGTGGATTAGTTTTAATCACCCTTTTACAGTATGCATTGAAATGTACCGTTTAAGCCATGTAGCAGGCCATCCAGCTGCAGATTAAAACATTTCATAATGGCTCTCATGATGTAAATCCACGACCATGTCCGAGCGCCCGTGTGCCAGCCGACTGGATCATTACATGAGCTGCATGGTGATTAGATCAGCTGATTGCTAAGGAGACACAAGCTGCTAATTCCTGCTAATATGTTGTATGGCTTGACTTACATAATGCGCCAAATCCCCAGTTTATATAGTGCAGATAAAGCTGATCTCATTATTGAGCTAATACTCTCGTTCTTTTTTCCCTCCAGGACATAAGTTACTGGGTTCAGGTGCACAGGTTGGAGCACGATGGAGGCATTTTGGACCTGGACGACATGCTGTGTGACGTGGTGGACGACAAAGATAGGGTGAGTCTTAAACCTTTGTTTATTTTCATGCATCACCAGCTCTTCTCTTTTTCTCTTCACCTTGAAACTGTGTGCAAAGTTTAGACATTTCTGCAGAGTTGTATAAATGGCTTCAGGAGAAATTCTTACTGCAGAGATTTTTCCAATGTGGTATTCAAGTCACAAGAGTTTTGTTGGAGTTGAGGAGCTCTCCAGCTGTCTAGCCACGTGCTGTTGTTGCGTGATGGCGATGAGTCAGTCCTCTTCTTGACTGAATATTTCACACTGTCAACAACCGAGACGAGCGCTCTCTTGAGCGGTAACACTTTGACTTTGATACGGCAGCTGTCACTGTGTCCTAGTTGAATTTGATGTCATAGTTGGACGCTTACTTGCTTGCTCTTATGTCTTCAGTAGGTCAAATCCCATTGGTAGCTAGTATGTTGAACCAGTGAAGGTTCGGAGTATTATGGAGGAAGGAAACGCCTCTCTAGCAGCCAGCTAGGTCGGTACTGTCGGTACTGCGTTGGTACGTTTACAAGAACAGCCAAGTCACCCGCCATGTTATGTTTACATTTCTTTAAAAGTCCAGTTTTAGTTTGAAGAACACAACAAATCGCCCTTTTTAAAAAAAACATTTAAGCGTGCTCGATGTTGAAAGCCCAAACTAAATTCAAAAAGGGCAGCAGGAGCAAGAAGCTGCTTCTGTTTCTACTCCAGTGTTTGGTTAACAACTTTTCAAATTCCCACCTGGTGCATGATGGGAAATGATCCTAACAGGAGCCTAGTTGTAGTCTTTTGTAGTCTTTTTTTGCTTAACAGTCCTTGCTAAATATTGTAACCCTGGACTAAAATGTCTTGGATAATATCTCTTCTTTTCATGGTCTGATGTATTTCTGGTGAAACATCTGCTTGTGATCACCTGTGAGCTGTTACTGTCTCATCACTTCTACTACAAAAACAAACTACTGTACACCACCATGCTCTCTGTAGAACTTCTCACAGTCCTTTTTTTGCTTTCAAATCCTGGAGATGAAATGTTGAATGAGTCGGATGGTTTCTTCTTAGCAGCTCAGCTCTGATGTGTGCGAGGCCTCGTGTCTTGTTTTATCTGCCTGTGTGAAGGTGTGTGGGCCAAATTACTCCCCCGCCCCCAACTATACCAACTGCAAATAATTACCCACAATCCCATTCCCCCCTCCTGTGGGAATAGTGCTGACTACACCTGAGTCACCAGCAGTTCAGCTTTCATGTGGGGCCAGAAACCCCCTCTGTGTCTTTGTGAGCGGGAAATAGATGAATGAAATCAGTGATGAGGTATGAAAGACTTTTGGCTGCTCTACAGTCAATGAAACACAGTCAGTGAAATAATCATAAATACATGAGTTAAAGTAGTTAATGATGTCATCTGACAGACAGAACGTGTATTACAACATCGATAAGTCATCTCCTGTTACTCATCAAAGTGTCTCCTGATGACACAAATGATTCATTAGAAGTTTTAATCGCTTCAAAGAAGACCAAAGTCAAAGCCATGCGAGGCTCCATCATGTCTTCTTTTTAAATGGTGATGAAACATTCGAGCGTTGGTTGAAAGTGTTATCTCAGACTCGGATCTTTTTGCAGGTTTTCTCAGAGTATCTGGTGTCACATAGACACGTCGGATATCGTGTGAAATCTGAAAACATCTCGTCCTCAAGAATACTGTGATATTTGTAGTGCTGCTGTTTCATGTTGAAAAGCACATTTCAGCATCATTATCCACAGACATGTTTTTCATTAATTGATCGTACTACAAGATTTTAAACGAGGGGCGTCCCACAAAAGGACAACAGAACCAATCATGTTTATAGCGGGTTGAAAAAAGAGTTTTATAATTGAATGATCTTAAGACAAAAGCTAACAGTTAGCATGTTGTGTACTCCTCAGAGAGCTTCAGAAACATGCCTATAAATGAAGACTTAAATTAAATTAAGTTATCTATGGAATAGCCAGATTTAAAATGTATGTATTTGTGCAGATTTTTATGATCTGTCCTTCCTGTGTTGACGTCTGTGAACCTAATTGCCCCTCAGGGACAATAAAGATTTTCTTACATATCCAAGACCTGCCGCTGTCAGGCCAGAGAGTAGATCTAGGAGACGAGATGTGATGTTCATAAGGTTTCAGAAATATATGGATGCATACAAATGAATGCCATTAATTAAAACAGAGCATGCGTGAAATGACACCAAAAGTATTGATCAAAAGTTTTATGTCTTTTTCTCTTTAGTTTATATTCAAAACAATGGAGCGAGCTGCCAACCCCAGCTCAAAGAATGGGTCCCTGATCTCTGTTTGGAGCTAAAAAGCTACCAGGAGAGTTATGGTTTCAGTGTTACAGGGACCAAATCTTCCTCTGAGGACAGTTTGTGTAGAGAGTTATGAACATATACCACAGAATCTGTACACCTCTCCAACTTTCACATTTATGTACCAAAACTCCATAGTGCACCTCTAAGTGAGCTCAGCATCATTGAACTAAGTTACAGTGACAAGAAAAATAAAACAGGCAGAAACCTCGAGCATATCAATCTTAATTTAGAAAATGGTGAAAATGTCACGTCATAACCCGTGCAGCTTTTTAGAAACGTCAGAGAGCTCTCATCACTCTGAATACTTACAGCCCTGTTTGATATGCAGATGCTTTTTCTAACTGGTTTCTGTCTTCGTGCCTGACTGAAAGAAACTTGTTTTTCTATATAAAAAAGACGGATTCATGTATTCATGAGCGTCTATGCAGGTTATTATGGCTGTGCACTGGGTGTCATGGAAACGCATCAGGTGGGATCAGGGGTGCAGAGCAGATGTTTTGCACCTGCCGTCTGAAACGCTCATTTCTCCTTTTCACTCTCCTCTCCCCTCGTCTCTGTTCCTCATGTGATCCTTCATAAACAACACAAACACAAAGACAGAAGTCGTTTTCTGAGAGTTGATTTCAAACTAATTAAAGACTATTCAGCACATTCATGTTGCATTTGTTCTGATGCTGTGAGAGACTGCTCCCCCTGGTGGCTATGTGGGCTCTTTACATCTCACTCCTGACCAAATATTAAAATCTTTAGAAAGACAAAAAAAACAACACAAAACCAGCTTTTTATTGGATTATTTTTTTTACCAGTCTCACGAGTGGGAGTGTTTTAGCTCCACTCAAACAGTCATGTTTCAGCATCAAACCCAGCCCTGAAAGTAAACAGAAATAAAACGGTCACACGGCGGGCTGACACACACTGCTCGATGACGCTGTTGGTAGTATCTGCATGACACACATAACGAGAGAGTGCACAGGTCGGCTGGATGTGGGCCGAGAAAACCAGCCCTCAGTGTGTGTACACATGAATTATCTGTGTGGGTATTTGCTTGTGTGTGTGTGTGTGTGTGTGTGTGTGTGTGTGTGTGTGTGTGTGTGTGTGTGTGTGTGTGTGTGTGTGTGTACGTGTGTGTGTGTGTGTGTGTGTGTGTGTACGTGTGTGTGTGTGTACGTGTGTGCGTGCGTGCGTGCGTGTTAGTAATAGTTAGTGGTAAATCCAGTCAGTCCAGTTCCTCTGATCAGCCGCTGTCTCTGTTTTACTCCACAAACAGGCTGGAGTTAAGCAATGCTTTCTGAAGTCTTTCTATGCTGAACTCATTTTATTTGGATTTATCCTTTATTTAATCTGAGAGGAACCACTGAGCCTGATGTCTCTTTTCCACGGGTTCCCTGCAGCAGAACCAAAACACACACATGTAGAAACACAGTAGAGAAAGAGTTAAATAAACATTCATAGACACATGTTTATAATTGTAAAGCCACGCCCCCTTTCAGTATCTCCATATCATAAACAATTCATATCACGCTACTGCTTTTAAAAAGATCCGTCCTCTCACTTTTTATTTCCTAACCTTTATTCAGAAGTTCAAGGAAACCTGAAAATACAAACTTTTGTCAGACACATCATGGCTAAATTCTCAAATCATTCAGTTTGATTTTTAGCAATGTATGAATGTAAATCAACAGAACGAGGTTACAAACAGTCAAAAGCAATCACTTGCATCTTTTTGTTAAAACTAAACAGAACGGTTACTGCTGCCTTGGTGATGAATCAGAGACCCCATGAAAGAGAATCTACTAAGCCTGCTTCACCATGTGGTAGTCCACGTTTGTGAAGTATGTTGCTGTGTTCATTCATTGTTCACATTTCTCATTACTGATGAGCTCTGTGTGGTGATAGTTCATCTCACACACGAGCGATGAAGTCATTGTTTACATCGCTTCACACCGATGATAGCTCAGGTTTGATGCTTTAAGATAATGGAGTCAGTGCAGCTAAGTTTGAGCATAAATGACCCCGACGTGATTTGAACACGCAACCTTCTGATCTGGAGTCAGACGCGCTACCGTTGCGCCACGAGGTCCTGTGGTAGTCCCCCTCACCTTCTGTTCACACAGCTCGGTTTAGATTAAAGTTATTGTTTTGCTCTCTGCCTCTCCTCTGGCCGGCTCCATTTAAAACAGGAAGGTTTGTTCTGTAGAGGTCAAAATCAGGGAGAGTTTATTATTAAAAAATAAAAACATAAAAATAATTAAAAATAAAGAATATTTCCTCCTTTCAGTTTGAATTTATCACAAGTTTTTAACAGCTCAGTTTGTCGCTCGGTGTCTTTGCTGATAGCCTGCGCTTTAGGACATTAACGTTGGTGCAAAACTTCATTTTATAATGAAATTGAGTCAAAACAAATGAAATCTGTTTTAGTCTTTATTGTGATCTTTATTGTTGGGTGTTGATTTTCACTGTATGAAATGTAAATGAGTCACATGTAGGTGCAGTGATAAGAAAACACAGCAGTGGGGAGTTAATGTGAAAACAGATGTCGTCACCCTGCAAGTTTTGGTGCAGTTAGGTGCAGCCAAGCCTTACTTGTGTGTGCGTGTGTGATTCTATATGTGTGTGTGTGTGCGTGTGTGTGTGGTATGTGAGATGTCAGGCTCCGGTTCAGCAGGC